TCATTATTATATTTGTCTTCGAATTATATTTAATATGTACTATAATATTTATTATTGTTTCTTGCCTAAAAAAAATAAATTATAATCGAAAGAATATTCCTGCATTTTCTTGAAACCTTTTGATTATCGCCTGTATTCATCACTTGAATTTTTTTTTGAATTCCCATTATTATAAAAATATGTTTGGTGGTTGGGTATATTTCTTTCTATATATATATATATATATATATATATATATATATATATATATATATATAGGTATGTGTGCTGGTATATCGGTATACTCAAGAGTTTTTAAATGTTTAAATAATTTTATTCATTTGACACCGCCATTATTACGGCGTGCAGTTACCGCGAGAAATCGGTAAAGAGAATTTAAAAGAAAATAATAACGCGGTGTTTTAATCAATTCAAATCTGAACAAAAACTTTGACGTATAGTTGCTACATAGTATTATCGCAGTATAGCGAATAACCTGCCGTGAAAAGATCGTACGGGAAAAAATGCCGTTTTAGACCTGAATATATTGTAATATCGTAACCTATTACACCATCGCCTCCTTCGTTTTGACGGTAGCTGTTTGGCCGAAGTTCGATAGCGTTTATAGTATACCCATCTACCTACCTATACCTATCCACCTAATATCGTTTTTCCAAAGACGTCCCTTGTATTATAATAATATAATGCTTCTATATTCTAGACATATTATCATATATAGGTATGTACGTATATTATTATCTCTTTAGTTCAGAATAATATGTAAATAAGGTACATCGCGTGTGGCGTATAAAAAAAAAAAAAAAACCAGTATACATTTATATTTATTTTATTTTTTTATTTATTACATAGCAATATTGAATACGAAAAAAAAAACCGCATACTCGGGCATTGAAGAACATGTATAATATGTACATCTTATTGCCCCTATATCGCACAACAATACTGCAGACTGCTGCGGTATATCGTTAACTTTAAACGCGTCCCCGGCCGCGTATTTACAGATCCTGTCTGAATTCTGTCCGAACCGAAACACAACCGATTTGGTTTTAAACATTTAAAGAAATTATCTAGATGATTTACAAAACATAACGTACTTATTGGATGCTGGTCCGTATTAGTGTTAGGAAAAATTGCATTCCTATTGTAAGAACACTGGAACGCGTTACTTTTGGAATGAAGGAACGGGGAACAACAAATTGGATGACCTGAACAAAACTAAACACATCGTCAAATTTAATAGATTACTCATTTTTATTCGTTATTATTTTTGGATAACATATTATAATATAATATGTACTAAAGTTTGAAATTAACCTAAGTTCTAGCCATTTATAGGTATATATTGCTATACATATATAAACAAAGAGCTGATTCTGCTTTTCGGTGCGCCTTTATTGTAGGTGAGAAGTTAGGAAGGTAGAATATATAAATTAATTTAATTTATATCTATAAGCAATTATGAACTATTGCTAACGAGAAACTATTTTGGGTGAAGATCGTTTATATATGATTTAAAAGGTTGAAATATTTACGGTATACATCAAAATATGATCTTACAACCATTATACAAAAAAAAAAAATACTACATTACTACACTACTTGTTTTTTAACGCTTAGTAAAACTTATATTGGATTTGCTGTTGAATTTGCGCGTGTTTATGTTAGGTCAAACAATAGTTATATCTACATAGTATTTACCAAATAAAAACAACAAAAATATCTCTTAAATATAAAATGCCTAATATAAATATCTAACAAATCGCTAAAATGTTTTGAATATTTTTCGATGTCTACAAAAGATACTTGGATGCTTTATGGATACTTAAAGGATACTTAATTTTTTTTCTTTATGTATACTCGTACGTGTACGAGTTTAAACGTTATTAATAAATACAAATTATTATTTCGACTTTTTGAAAATTTGACTACTCGTGTAAAAAAATGTTTTTCATCCTTATTTATATTAAACTATTTGTCTTGCATCCCCTGCCCTTCTAAGGTTGGTAAACGCGATAAAATCCTAAACGCTTAAAGCTCTAGTTATATAGTTGTTCTTATTATATAATGAAATTTTCGTACCAAACAGGCCGAACGCATTTTTGGCACGATGATAATATTATTTCGGTCGGATTAGGTTTTGTCACGAACCATGCCTCTGCGGACGCATCGTAAATGGTTATGTTTTTGTTCGTTTCGCCGCGAGTCGTGATGGCGTTTCGCGAATCCTTTGATATTCGGGCATCGATACAATAAGTACCTATAGTAGGAAATTCCTCCGAGCTGTAAACAAAATCCAATTTTAAACGTCATGAATACGTAGGTACTCATACGTATGCTCATAGGTTATTGCGATATACGAGTATTGTTGATCTGGTTTCGATTTCGTCAAGTAGTATGACGAAAGCGTTTAAAAACGTCAATGTTTCACGAAATATTTCGGTTTGATGAAAAATATAAAAAATAAACGTAATTTACTTTTGAATCTAAAACTCTAATGCTTGTAACTTCGGCAGTTAACATCTACTTAAGGCACTGAATAGTTCGGCTCTCAAGTATTTCAAAAAACTGTATCAACAGATTGAAAACGTTTACAATTATTAACAACACTCTAAATAAATAGTTTAATGCATTTTAATTTTTGACGTCTTAGATATTTGCATGTTTACTATAGCATTTAAGAAGATTTGCATAAAGAATATAATATTTACATTTTAAATTAAATCCAATAATTCATTAACATTTGTCAGTATTATGACTTAATAAAAACTAATTATAATACAATACCGAACCAATAAACAAATATGTAGAAACAAAAATGTATTATTCAAGTGAAATATGTCATATTCATAACGTAATCCTACTTACCTACTTGTGTTAAGCTATCCATGATAGTCACAGTTAGTCAGATGCATTATACTGTAGCATGTATTGTTACCATATTTTTGGGTCCTTTTCTTAATTTTTCTTAACAAGACATCTACCTATATATTCAATAAATTATAAATTATAATGCACACATAAACATCACTTACATTTTCTTATTTAATACAAAAATGACAAATTTATAAAAACACGCACATCTTACTTAAATTACTAAACTCATTAATAACTAAACCTCCATCGATATTAGAGGCTATTTCTTGTTCCATGAAAAATAAAATTAATGGTTTCAAACGATCTTGAGCTATGGTACTTTCTTAATTCACTTTTCATTTAACCCGTTCTTTATAATAATAATAATATAGTTATATAATAATAATAATAATAATAATAATATGAATAATATGAATAATATGAATAGGATGAGTCGAATTGAGTTTTTTTACTGCTGTTAAGGTGGGGATAAAAAGATTACGCGAATTCAACACCGCCCAGCCACCACACCTGACTAATTTCGGGTTTTCATTAAAGGTATTATACATCACCGCGAATGTTTTTAGCGCAGAAACAACTACGCGTGACTGCGACGGTGGAGGGGGGCACTACTTAAAAAAATTAAAATAATCAAATGCATATATATATATATGTATACGTGCATGTGTAATATAATATTATATAGTCGTAGGTATATAACCGCGGTTAAAATATGCAATTAAACGGAGTACCTGCAGCACACGCTATTATAGAGGTATACCTATTATTATGATTTCGTATAGAAAATGGAATTCGAGTTGTTTTATGTTTACTCTGTAGTTAAAACTACCCCGTGTCCTATACAGACATACAATATACATATATATGTTATGATGTATAATCACGTGTCACATTTTATTTTGTTTTATATGCCAGCGTGCGTTCGCGTATAATGTAACAGACATACAAAAATTAAAATATTTTTCGATACATATTTTCCTCCGTTTCAGGCAGATTAAAAAAAAAAAAAATAATAATAATAATTATTAAATCTGTCATCGTTTGTCATATTATACTTAAAAGTAAATAATATTATACGCGACAGTACACTGCCCCATAAAACGGGATTTGAGTTTATATTATTACGAATTATGCGTTTGTATTACGTTACTATATAAGTCAACTACGCGATGCATGCACATGTACATGTAACAACTTTACAAAATATATTTTATAAATTACCAACAAATATTTTCTTAATAATTTTGGTATTATGGTAATATTCTACTTATCGTAACCTAATGTAAGCGAACAATTTATTATTAAATGTTCCGATATGTCATAATTTAATATAATTATACGCAAATACGATTTATATTATTTGTACGAAAACATTTTATACGAACTGTGTTGCGATTATAGGTCGCAAAAAGGTCGCACAGCGGATATTTAATTTAAAACTTGTGAACAAACATTTTCTAATAAACCAATACATAATATAAATAATATGTTAAACTTTATACTTATACATACATACATACATACATACATATAATACATTATACATATATAAATTGTAATGACGCGCAGCAATACATTTTTAATAAAAACGTTCGTCGCATAATTGAAATGCCTATTTCTACCTTAATAAACTGCCGATATAGTGTTCTATAAGTAGAAAGAGTTCAAATATTATTATCAATATTATTATTATCAAAATCATTACTATTTTGTATATGTGATTTCGTAGGTACCTGAAGAAAAATAAAATTAGTTTCTATGAAATTTCTATTATATATATATATATATATATATTTTTTTTTTTTTCATATATAAATCGTATTACAATATGTTTTTTATAATAATTTTATGTAGGTAAATATTTACATTTTCCATCGGAAAAATAAAATATATTATATTCGAATTAAATACTTATAGGTAATGCAATATTATTTATCCATAAATACCATGAAACAAATCACCCATGTGCTGGGCAAAGCTTTGTCACTATAGAGTCGAATTTAGTAAAATATTAATTAATCGAATACTATGCATAATTTATTTATTTATTTTTATTTAATATGGGCATAACCCAAAGTACAGTAGTAACTCGATAAATTAACATGCAGACAATTCAGTGGAATTGAAAAACAGAACCAGATATTTAGGTATTAGTGGTATTTACTAACCAGGTATTAGTGTAAGAACGAAGGGTGGTTGTTATCAAGGCGCAGCATGCAGTGTATGGGATTGTTCGAACTATAATTCGTGGTATGCAAAGGGATTGAAAAAGTGGTGTTAGAGCGGATCGGACGTGGAAGGACTAGAGAGTTGATGAGCAAAAGGAGAGATGGTGCGTCCATAGAACCGCTGTTGAGGTTACGGAGGAACTTCAAGTTAATATCAACTCTTCTATCGGCTAGCGTTGATAGAATAAGTACGTAAAGAACTGAAGAGTAGTCATGCAACGGGTGGGGGATATTCAGCATATGGGTGGCATATGATAGAAAACGTATTTGGACTCACCCGATGATTGTAGAGTCAGAGGCTATAATAGAATCGCACAATAATAATTCAATAATACTAATCATTTACTATTAGGGTATTTTTTATTTGGGTGATAGCGGAATTTTTATTTCGACGCACCTAACTTTATTATAAAAAAATAAAAATAAATTTTAAGCCCTATTCGAGCTTCCTAGGATAATTTTTAAGGCCCTCCCGAGGTAAAGTTTCTCATTTAAAAAAAAAAAAAAAATTATATTTTTTCATTCAGTTTAAATATTATTTATATAGAGCATATAGAAATGATGAAAAAAAAAAATGTTCTTATATAAAAATGATCCAGGTACGCTTTGGGAGAAAACAAATAAAAGGATATCGGGCATTTCATGTCACTTTCTTATTGATAATTATTAATTTTTTCTTAGTTTCCTAAAATATCGTCAAGAAAATCAATGATTTTTAGCCTGTTAAATCTTTGAAAATAGTACGAACATTGAATATAGGTCATTCTGTATAAACAGACTGATAAAATCAATTGAAAAGTGTTTACAAAATAGGCCATGTATATTAAAGTTATGTATACAGATAGGTGGGTACAGTTCACATATTTGCACATATTTTTCGAATGAAATACATATTAGTGATCAAAGTGATCTATGTTCGACGATCATATGATTTCAAATATGTGACACTCTAAAAGTCATCGATTTTCTGTAATATATTGACGGCATTTTAGAAATCAAAAATTGATAATTATCAGTAAGAAAATGACATGGAATGCTCGATGTATTTTAATTGTTTTTTCCCTTAAAGCGTACATTAGAATCGATAATTTCTACAAAAGAAAACATATTTCATCAATTTTATATGTCTTTATAACACAAATTCATAATAAACGAAAAATTTTACCTCGTTACAGGAGGACTTCAGAATATTGTCCTAGGATGCTTCAATAGGATTCAATATTTATTTTTATTTTATTTTAAAGAAAGTATTAGGGGGCATTAAAACAATAATGTAGCCATTACCCAAATAAGAACTACCCTAATTTTCACTTTGCTAAAATTGATTACACTAATTGCTTCCACAAAAAAAATAATTGAAATTTAAGCACATGTATTGTGGGAGCGAAAGTTGAAATTCGAAACTCCCTTCAGGCGTATTCTTGATATAATATCATGCATTTACAAAACTGCATCCTCCTTGGCTTCATTTGTGTGGTTTGTAGGGGTGTTAAAATATAAAATAAAAATCACTCTTATCAACCCGCATCAACATGGTAAAACTCGTATTTAAATTCAATTTAATTTTCAGTATCCCTTAAACTCGCATATAAAAAAAACTTTAATTCCCGTATTTGAAATTATTTGATTCAGAGAGAGCTGCTAAAAGTGTTTAACAGTATAGTGGGAAAAAGATATAAATATAAATATATGTGTGTATGCACTGTGTATAATACACACTATTGTTGTATGCCTGTCATATGATGGGTTATAGAGGATTTTATATTTTGGTTGCCATTTCTAATCAATATGCCCGTCATGTGACGGGTTATTAATGGGTTTAGTGGATTTTATACTTGGCTGCCGTGGTAAATCAATACAAGGCGATACAGACAAACGGACGGGCAGATGTACATATGAGATAAAAGACACAACATAGTGCATAGTATCTATTTTCGAGGAAAATTCGGCAATAATAATATAGGTACACGTTTTCGTATCTAGTTATATTATTAAGAAACATTTCAAGGCAAATGTAATTGAATAATTGCATCACGCTTTTTTACAAAAATATTTGTATACAACAATCAAAGTATGTAATATAGTTATTGGCCGAACCTAATTTGTCACGATAAATCATTATTGCTAACAATTAATAAACAAATAACGAAATTCGACTAAACAGGCTTTGAAATGCCCAATTACACATTTATGTTCAATTATTTGTTTTGCTACTATAGTTTACAAGTACAAGTTATGATAAGCAACGTGTTAAACTTTTGAGCATTTTTATTTGGCTAAAAAAATAGTATTCATATAAATCGAAAAACAGTACACGAAATGTCATGATTTTTACAATCAAAATTAAAATTATTATTTATTTATTTTTACTACTGAATATTTGACCCTTTGTATAAATATTTTAGCTGCATAGTTAAAATTAACTCTTCATTGAAACTGGATCAATTTATATTAAAACAACAAAATACAATTATTGAAATATTAGGAAATCGTAATGTGTAACTATATTAATGTAGTAACGATTTAATTAATATTCGACTGTCGACTGATACTAATACAATGTTAATAAAACTATAGGTATACAACCCGAGTAATATTTAATTAAGTATGTATCTTTCATAATATGTGTGAAAAGAAAATATCGTTTATATTCGGTATTTACTAACGAATAATAATGGGCATACTAATAATTAATTTACCTTTATATTACTATTACTGTTTCCCTATTTGTTGGGAGAAAGGGAGAGGCATTGTATAATATATTTTATATAAACGCATAACATAATAATTTTAATCAAACAGTATTAAACGGGCGGGATGTGTTAGCATGTGTTGTCTCCGTCTTACAAACGTATTACGATGTAGTAAATTTACCTTCAGCAGGGACAACATGGTGCTGTTGGTTTAAATATTAGACATATTTCGTACGACGAGTAGGCCATTGATGTAGGTGATAGAAATTGTGAGAGTAGAATATAGAGGGAAATATAATTTGTATATCTATATGTAACGAAAAACGACTCGGTGTGAATTTTGGTTGAACATGATTTGAATGGCCGTAATATTTACGAATTTCGTCAAAATTTGATATTAAAATTCTTATTTAAAAAGACTTCCGGTTAAATTTCCAAGTATTTCCATTTGGTCTAACAATTTTATCCATAGAATATCTACCAAATAAAAATTACGTAAAAAAATTCATAAAATTAAAAATCTATAAAAAGCTCAAAAATGGCTTAAATATTTTGAAAACTTTACTAAGTCTAGAAAAAACAAATATACATTTTATGTCGAAATTTCAAGTTTCTACAAATTGTTTTAATGGAATTACAACAAATACAAAATTTAAAAAAATTAAATAATTTTATTTGTAAATTCCACCGTTCTTTGTACAAATATTTTTGGGGTTTTGATCAATTATTTAAAAACAAAAATTACAACTAAAATTTAAAAAATGACTTTTGGTTACCAATTAGGTTAAAAATTCAACAAATAGAGTCTCTTGCGGTTTTGAACATTGGAGTAATATTTCTAGAAGAAAACATAAAGCATAACAATTTAAAATAATGAAACCATATTGCAATAATTATAACAAATAATTATAATAATATTATCAATAATGTATCATTTCTTATTTTACGGTTTTTCCCAATTATTAGAAAAACTGCTTAAAAAATTAACAAAACTGCTTTCTTTGTGAGTAACTGAAATACTGGAGCCAAAATTCAACAATAAAGTTTTTAATTTTGTATTAATTGAAGCAAGAATACTAGGAGAAAACATAATTTACAAAAATGTAAAATCATGAAATCATTATGACACGTGGCGTAAATTATTGTCTGTCTATCTCTACGTTTTTTTCCCAATTATTATGAAAATCACTTGAAAATCAAAAAAATTACCTCCTTAAAGTACCATGTAGATACAATTTCCTTTCATAAACGATGCTTTACTTGATATATCGGGGCAAGATTTTTGGTAAAAAAGTTGTTCACGGTACATAAAAAAAAATATAAATCATTGTAAATCCATTATATTTTTCACTAAGCTTCTAATATAAAATTCGTTGTTGTCGTTAAATTTAGTTCGAGTTCAATTTGAACCTTCAAATAAACCAAGTTAAAATTAAAGTAAATTAAAGTATAATCATACTTTAATTGATAAAATCAAAAGAGTGCAACGGCATTTAGTTCTACTAATATCGAAAAATGTTTGCTTATTTTGTATCACATTTCAATGATTTCAATGGTTCAATATTTCAATCGAAAATTACTGGAGGTTTTATTTAACTTGAATAATTAACTTATTTAACTTGCCTTCTTATTCATATTGTTTTTATTAATCTGATTTAATCTCCACCTATACTCTCTCTGCCTTATGGGCATTAAAAAAATTAAAAATTAAATAAAATTGCATAGCTCCTGCAGCCTATGTACCCGTATAGAATTATTTTTCAAATGGCGTATGATTTATATTATTTCATTATAACTAAAACAATATAATGCGCAAACCGACTTTTGTCCCCGAGGGCCCGTTTTAGGTGTGAAGTATGTCCTATTTTTTGTGAAATAGTTTTAAAATATTTTTTTTTCTCCCAGTATCCCTCGAAACGTACGCTGCAGTATATCAAATTTAAACGAATACGCCAGTACGTCTGTATTTATCTCTTTTTTTTTCTCTATACTTTATACGTGTTTACTTTTTTTTTCAGCCACACGGCATGCATATTATTGAATTTATAATAAACGATTTTATATGTTTTGTCTGAAAGTCTAAAAATCATATTATACCCAACTACAAAGGTAGGTACTTTCAATTTGAAAATTCTTTTCTCTAGCTAGAGATATTTGGGATAGCATTTTCACGTGAACGAAGTATTGGTACGTTCACGATTTCTGATTTACGACGACTTATATTTCAGATATCAGTACAATAATATTAGCCGATGGTAGCTTCCTATTTTCCTTTTATTTATTTTCTTTTATTATTCACTTTGCGTATACCGCCAAGCTGAATGCCTATTTCTTCTCGGAGGGAAAATAGTTCGTGACAATACATACACAATAATAATAGGTATACATATGTGCATTACTTACACACAAGTTTCGGAATTTTACACTATTGTTTGAATATAATACAAATAATTATTTAATTTTTGAAACTCCGGGATAAAGACATAGTTCAGTGTTGTAATATATCTAGATAGGTATTATATTGTGTCTTTTATCTTATCTAAATAAATAGGAAATAAGTTATTTGAGTTGTCTTCTTGGACCATGTAGTTTAATCTTTTTGAATCGTATTTGAATAGTATATTAGAAATAATAAGTAAAATACATTAACATTAATACATTTATTCTAAATTAATTATTAAGTTACATACTTACATCAACCACACACATTTTTGAAATTCAGATGTGTACCATATATTTTAGCACTTAGTTTTACGATAGGTTATGGAAAAAATGATCGTTTTTATCAAGATAAAAATTGCTAATTATCTATCATTATCTAGACAATTCAATTTTGTACGTACGATGATAATACAAAATTACCTGTTAATTAAATTTTAAGTATTTTCTTGTCTAAAAATAAATAATAGTAATAATTTATTATGTTCGTGTATTTTATTCGAGTTAATTATATGAATTTTACAGTAGATACCAGTTATTATTTTTGTAGAACTTTTCATAGTTAATAAAAATAAATTATAACAGGATAATATAAATCTATAGAAGAAATAACCAAATTCCCCCACTCGACCTTTACTTAACTTGAATTCACGTAACATATCGGAGTTTTTTCGATTGAAATTCCAAGATATGCTCACGAGCCTGCAAAGGAATAGGTACTGAGATGTTTTAGGTTATTACAACAATTGCCTAATTGGCTTATTCACGACCCCTTAAATACCGGGTGATGTTTGTTCATGGACGATACGCTGTAATAAAATATGAATGTGTAACTGTATACGTGCAATTATTTACATTTAGCACGATTTAATTTTCCATACATAAATATTATTATTATTTAATGTCATGCACCGTGTTTTTGATCCTTTTTTTCCTTATCGACTCGAACTTATATGATAAAACATAAAAATATTATAAATTTACGCCGCCGTGACACATATATCATCGAATTTAGCCGCGCATTACGACAAATAATAATATGCAGCGTATATTGCGATATTATGACATTAATATTCTTATAATAAGTTGAACAATAATAACTATCCTAATTAACTATTATTGTATTTTATTTGTTTTCGATATTTACGAACGCAAAACTTGCATTTTTAATAAAGTCAGACTATACTGTAGCAACCATTCCGATACGCAAGATAAAAAATGTAGACAATTGCAATTGCTTTTATTGTTGCAGTATTTTTTAACTGATTTAACGGTTGAAAAGATGGAATCCTCTGATTTTAACCCCATTCACCCTCTGGTTAAATTTGATATTAATGATTTTGTTCACCCACGTTATGACATAAGTATAGTTTATTATTAATACAAATTTTAAAAATTAAAATCTATCGACAATTTATAAATACATCTCTTCTTTTCCCTTTCAATGATCTATTTATTGGGAATTATTAAATTTATTACAAACAAACATAAAATGTTTAAAATATTCTCTTAATATATTTTATTAATTACCTATAGCGTCCATTTTTTTTTCTTTATGTATTCTTTTTTTCAGATTTTTTTGCTAACGCAATCCTTTTTTTTTGCAGTTTATCATATTTGATACTATTCTTCTGCGCAGCGTAATTCGTTTCTACCTATCCTTTTTATACCTAAAGACTAGAGAGACTGCATAAATAATAAAGTGATCAATTCAATTAGTTACCAGTCATCTATCTGTTATCGTTATCAATTACCAGTCACTATGGTGCCGTGTTTAGCACAAAACTATATGTGTTTAACATAGTGAATAATAAATAAAGTGATTTATTTATTTTATTCGAGTTTTAAATATTTAATATACTTAAATATTTATATTTATTTGCATTAACCATGGTAGATATTTAGTCATTTGGGCTTACTTAATATCTTTTTTTTTAGTCAAATAATAAAGCCATAATATTCTCTAGCAACGGTTTTTTGTTGAGTGAAAAGTTCTGATTTTTTTTTTACGCAGTACCTTAGAGTGTACCGAATATCATATCGGTGGTGCTTGAAACAATTTTTTAAATTTTTATAGTTTATTACATAGGTTTTTTTGGTTTGTTTTTTCTTGAAAATATTTTTGTTTAATTATTCGCATTGTACATAAGGAATAGATTTTATTTGAGTAAAAAAAGTCTATATTCCAATTTTTCTATCAAATTTAAAAGAACTGACAACTCATATCAAAACATCGTTTTTTTTCTATTTCTGTGTTACTTTTATTGACTGCAGCCGATAATAAGTGAAAAGCTACGACTTATAATACTTCGCTTAGAATAATTGTTTGATTGCAATAATTCATCTGTGCTTCTACCATATCAAATAAATTGTTCTATAAGTTCTATAACTTATATATTTTAAGCTATTTTAGGTTCTGAACGGAGCTAGGAATGTATTGGTTTCACAATGATGATTATTTTTTTATTTTTTCATTTTCTGTGGTCAACTTTTCTGCTTGCAATTTTTCTCCGATTTTCAATTATATAATTCTGAAATGATATCTGACTGGGGTGATATTCTAGGAAAGTCATTTTTTAATTTTCCTAGTGGTTTTCATAACAATTGGAAAATACCTAGGAAAAAACTAAAGAAAAACGGACAAATGTATAAAACGTAATATTTTCAAATCGTAAATATCACGGCCTTTTATAACATGATCTATTGCCCATTAGGTAACTGAACCCAATCAGAATCGTTTTTCGTCAGCAAAGATTAATCGTTATGTACAATAATAAACATTAAATTCTCTTATATAAACGTAGGCGAACGATAAATATAAAATACTTATTATACATCTATTTATATAATATTAATCTTAATTTCGAAACACGAAAAATTGATTATTTTGTTAACATTCTTAATGTACTAGGTATGAATGATTTGTTTTCAAGATAAATACTAAATAAATAAATACTATAAATTATTAATTAGATAAATACTAAATGTTATTTGTAAATATAAAATTGCAGTATAATAATGCGCGAAATACACTCGACTGGAAACAAATAAAAGTGACTGTTATTTTATTATACGGACGTGTGAATAGGATGTGGACTCAGGCATATTGAATTCTCACGTATATATTATAATAATATAACAGAAATTTTAAATAAATTTAAAAACGTACAATTTTACCCTTATTCCAAGAACAACGAACACATGCGTCACAACTCACATTATCCATGTTTAGTTATTTCCGTATAAGTGTCAATTTTTACATGCGATTGATCTCGACTTCGTATAAGTCTAATTATATTTATCAATAAAATATAATATAACGTGTATGAAAATATTGATTTAAATTGATATTGAGTTAACTGCGTAATATAAACCCCAGTGTTTCCTAACCGGTACAGGTCCACGAGGTAAAAATATATTTATGAGCAAAATAAAAATTGTATTTAAAAATAATAAAACAAATAAAATTCTAAAATCTGCGAAAAAATATTAATCTCTTTAAATATAATTTTTCCAATTTAATTATTACTTTACTATGTGCGTTGTCAAAACTTATTACCTACACAAATATTGTGCCATTTCAATTATAAGAAGATAACAAATCGGTTCTAAGTATCAGTCATTCCAAGTCAGTCAATGATTATTTAGTCAAACATCGCCTTATTATTATAAAATACCGAAAAAGTCTGTAAATAAAAAAAAAACCCACAAAGATTATTAAATCGAATGATAAAAAAAAGAATAATAATATTTACATTTTTCCTAATGTGTCTAATATTCCGTTTGTGAGTTATAACAGTTTAATATTTGACCGGAAAAGTAAGAAAGGGTAACATATAGCAAATATATTTTTAGTTTTTAAGAGATTACTTTTCCCTACACCTTCGGTCTAAATGTGTCTAAATTGTACCTATATAACCTATAATCTATAACTATCTGGTGATAATTTTGTAAAATAATCAAAACCGATAATTATACTAGTAATTTGCATAGAAAATTGTTGAATAATGATAAAAAACAAAAAAAAATCATTCTATATAGTTTTGTAAAATCAATTATATTTTCTATGGATAAACTATGTAGCTTTTTTAAATGTAGTATTTATTATTACTTTATGATCACTTTTAATTTGATTAAGTATAAAAAATAATGAAAATACATTTGGATCTGAATATGAACAAATTTTAATAGGGTTGGGGAAATGTTTCGAAGTATTTTCCCTGAATAAAAACGTTTATTTAACAGTAATTTTATATTCCGAAAATGGAACTGAGAACGTCGCTGCTATTGGCATTTTTTTCCTTGTATACATTTTTAAGTGTTTTGTTAACTTGCTTTAATATTCGTTTACAATTAGGTATATTTATTCGAATATATTATTGTAAATTTCCGAACAATTTAAATGCACTGCTATAATTAAAAAGAAAAACTCTTTTTTTTTTCTACCGGAATACTTTAAATATTTTAGCATACAATAATTATTATTCATTTAACAATGTGTTTTTTAAAATAACGTATATATGCAAAATAAGTACCTACAATGTTCTTTTTGGAAATATATTTGAAATACAAAAACTGTTACAGGTTAGTTTAAATTATTATCATAAAAAAACTCGTTTATGTCTCTGAATCTTGATTTTTGTCCAATAATTAGTACTTTGGAAAAAAAAAACACAAATTAAATTCCCTTTGAAATGTTGCCCTTTCCAATTTTATGGTTTTTCATATTGTAATTTAATAGCTACATTATTTTTAAACTCGTTTACAATGATAATCGCCGTTTTCTATTTTTCGTATGTAATAATACAATAATAATAAGTATATTGTAGTTATTTTACTAGCTACCTATACCGAAAATCGTTAGAAATACGTCCTCTTAAAATCAGAGAATAAACCGCACCTACGCGAAACTATATAGCTGTGAACGTATTTCGGGTCGGGGGGTGTTTGTCGAAACCGAAATCGAAGTAGTCCTAAACTAATTATCATTACGGTTCCGGGAATTAGGGCGTACCCTGCAGCACAGCATCGTGTCCAGGACAATCCGCGGGCGTTGGTGACGACGCGCCAGTATATCATAATTTATCATAAAATATTCTAGGGTAAACTTACGGAGTTTCGGGCAAAGGTTTTCACGGAATTGATTGCACGTAGTTTATATTTATCTACAGTAAAAACCCACAGTAGATTCCCCGTGAAGTTTTAAAAATGTTTTAACGAAACGAAACTGAATATTATTAAAAAAAAAAAATAAACAATATAACCTATGAATATACCTGTATCTAATAACAAATTAGCATTTCTACTTTGAGATTAGAGAGTGTAGTAGGTACCGAAATGTCTTAGTTTGACTGAAGAGATTTGTTTACGGTTTTAATCTATACCTACCTAGTTGAATACGTTTTGTTGAGATTCTTAAGTCCTTTTATAGTCGGACTTGGATGTGAATTAATACGTCTATTGTTATCTAACTTAAGCCAACAAGGCTAAAATTCATAAGGTACATAATATGACGAAATCCTGGATAATTGTGAGGCTAGTAATAAAATTGCCCAAGCTCCGGTCACACTAAACCATGAAATAATGATTCTGTATGAGAGAAAAGGAAAAATTATTTTAAAATCATTGGAATGAATTATAATAATGATAATGGTAAAAATCAAATACATACAATTTGTTGTATTATAGGCCCACACGGTAGCCTCAAAATATTTGTTCGAGCCCCATTAAATATAATTGTGAATTCGGTCCTTTATCTATCTCCATTAAAATGCAATTTACTTTAATTATTTTATTATTGCCGGTGTTACTATTTATACTGGAAGGTACAACACTTTAAATTTAAATCATGAAACTATAATACTCTATCATTTATTATACGTAGGCACACAGATAAATACAATTATTGTTTAAAATTAAAACTGATTTTATTTGATTTCGCTGAAGATATATTATAGGGCATCTGCTATTTGCCGCGGATTTCTTTGCGAAAACAACAACTGATTATAATACTATGCGATTGAAAACTACAGGCACATAACAGCTGCTTTCCGTCATTGTAATAAATTGATCGAAAATTGTATCGATATTATGTACAAAGTCCGTCCAGTGTTAAATATCGAATTCAATTTTATTCGTGCTGAAAATGATTTTGCGATATACTTTTAGTAAAAATAAAACGTTATTGTTTGTTATTTACCGGTACAGCGGACACGGCATGTAGGTACCTATCGATTTTATCGGTCGCCGCGGTACAAAAGCGCTACTGGACTGTCTCAAATATAATCGGGCGATTTGCTCTTTTGAACGTACCCAAAGTTCCTGTAAAAAACGATTATAGGTGGACCTATATAAAATAATAATATTATTGTTATTTTTCTCTTTATCCTTATCTACAGTAATAATAGTAATAATAATAATTTACTCTGAAGGTGTACCAATGTAGCCGTGTTATTGTTATAGGGAATCGGATACTCCGATTGAGTATTGGAACTACGGTCTTTTTTTTTTTGCCATATTTTCGACAATAATTCCGTCGAACACAAACAATTTTCCATATGGTTTTCAAAATATTTCAAATTCCTAAAATAATTTTGAAATAATCAATCTACATATTATGTTAATAAAAAATCCCTCTGACACGAAATATTTCAAATATTTACCGGGCCTTCACAAATAAGTAGGGACAACTATCTACGATTTCATCGGGTATACGCGTATCTATCGCTATTTATTTTGAATAGTTAACACATTGTTTAAGTGTGTAGGTACCGTGGAATTTCAGAACAGTTTTAAACTGTTGAAATCTTTAATACAAAATAGGTTCGCATGGAGTCACTAGTGTGCGTTAATTTAATTCATATTTAGTTAAATAAATTGTGTATTAACTACAAAGGCACATTTAATACGCTGTACCTCAACGCGTATTGAACGCATTAATGTAATACGGAAAAATATATTTGTAATGATGATAATAAAACGATACATATGTACATATTCACTTACGTTTTATATTATATTTGATTTTTAGGTAGTTATAGCTCGAGTAATTTTATGAGATTTTAAATAATATAAGACTTAGAACTTAGGATTATCATATAATAATAATAAGCTGTCCCGCCCGACTTAGCGCGTAACAATAGAAATACAATCCGATAACGAATGATTGTTCGTTGTATGTAGCCTCGTGACTAATGTTTCAGCCTTTTCACTTATCTATTTTGTTGTTTTGTTTACTTTAATTTATTTTTTATTCCATCCATATCACCAAGGTCACTCATATATGAACAAAAATAATTCGATTTTCGTATTGAAAATACCAATTACCCTGTGTGAGACGGAGATCCCCTTGGGTGGGAATTCGGGAAAAAGCTTAGCAAAATTTCACATTGATGAATACTGCAGGTCATCCTTTGGAGGTAGACTATGTAAATAATCCATCGCAGACTTTGGTTTGGGTCTTTTAAAGATATATAATTCCGTAGCACGTAGTTTTGATGAATGTAATATGGTTTAGCCAGCGTAAACAATGTAAGCGCCCGAATTTATTTTATCATCATTATTATATTGTACGCTTTATGTCGATTTTACCACTACGTCTTCACGACACCGTCTAATCTGAATTACAAAATATAAAACTGTTTTTTTTTATTTTATTTTTTTTTTTTATTATTATTATTGTTTTTTTCTTTAAGGATTTTAACATTTATACTTTTCAATCTGAGTAATCCTTTGTGAAATACAGCCATTTCGAAATACGGTTATCGGAACTGCTTTTTTTGCGATTCCTTACACTTTCCCGGATATTATGACAATATTGACAATACGTATTACGTATTTGTAAACACTGCGCGCGATCTTCAGCCATTTCTTCGTTTCGTTACCATACATACTTATATATAATACGGCAAAAAACTCATAAAATAACTTCTGATTCTTTTTCAATAAAAACGAAACAGCAATAGCTTTATTTCTCTCAAAAACATAATAGATTAAAGATAAAAATCAAAATTCACGAAAAAAAAATATATATATATATATTAAGAATTGTATAGGTTTTTTGACGGATTTTAGTATGCGATGGTCGGGTTACCATCATTTAAAAATTGAACGTTATTGATATTATAATATATACCTAGTCATCTAACCATAAAAATAACTATACGAGTACGTGGTAGGAGGAGAGATATAGCGATTTTATAAAACACTGTACGGGCGTGTACCTTTACAAAATGTAAAAGAAAATAGTAATTGGAAAAAAAAAAGTTAATACCTTTTGAAAATAAAGAACGTTGTACATTGAAATAATCACTATAATACGTACCTATACATAAAATAAATATATATAGAATAGAAAATAAAGGTTTGGTCCTTTTAGGCATAGGTTTTTCAGGTACATGGCATAAAAAATAGAACCAAGAAGTAAAAGAATATCCGAGCAAAATTGCTAATTTTCTGAGATGTGGATACATTAAAAAAAAAAAAATCGTTACCGAAAATGCCAGTGCGAAATATTCAACTTACAACTTATTGACATTTTATATCAACGAAATTATTATAAGACGCTGTTTTGCGAAAAAAAAAAAATATTGTATGCAAATATTAATAACCCGCAGTATTATGCTGAGTTCACACGAGGCTTAAACCACGACCGTGGTTTTCGGTAACACAGTTCACGGTTTGTGTAAACAGATACAATTCGTTCTTCAAGATTTTGATTGGTATTATAGATTTCTTCGGTGGTTTTACTATGATATGTGTTTTGTAAACCACATTTCCAAAAGAAATATTGTTTTTGTCAAAAAACGAAAAGTGAGTTTTTTTATAGCATTTTGTTTCCTTTGAGAATGCAATTTTTTGATTTTCTTAGTAGCTCTTTCAGTGATATTTAACCGATGTTCCGTGGCCTTAGTATAAGTGTTCTGCCAAATTTAATTTTTTTATTTCCGGTTTTCAGTTTGTCGATTGGTTGGCTGCAGCTCTCCAAACTTCTCTGTTAATACTCGGCTCCTATGAAATTATCCCTGGTATTAGTTATTATTTTCCAAAATTGTCTTTTTTTCTTTGATTCTTTTTAATATCTCTTCATTTTTACTCTGTCACACTCTTGAATCTTGAGAATCTTCGGTTATGAAATCTTCATTTCATAAGCTTCTAATTTTTTCTTTTCGATCGTATTTACTGTCCAGGTCTCGCATCCATATAATGTTACACTTCATTTATACATTTTCAGAAATATTTTTCTTGTGCAATCCTACATATTATATCTAATTTGCTTTTACCGTCCTCGGTTATTTTACTTCCAAGATATCAGTAGCTTTGCACTTGTTCGATAGGTTCTTTGTTAATATTTATTCTTAGCCGCTTTTGATCTACTTTGCTACATGACATAACTTTGGTCTTATTTTTGTTTAATTTCATTCCGTAATTTCCTAAAATATCTTCCGTTTTATCAAGTAATATTTGCAAGTATTCTTCTGTTTCAGTGCAAAACACTTTATCATCTGCAAAACGAAGTGCTATTACGTTTTGCCCCCCCCCCCTCCTACTTTGACTCTTACTTGTATTTTATCTTTTATTTCTTTTATAGCTTCTTCAATATTCATATTATACAAATTAGGTAACAGAATGCATACTTGCCTTACTTCCTCACCAAATTTCAATATCAGTAGAAAAAATTCTAAATATTTTAAAATACAAATAGTTTAATATATACAAATTTTACTTCGTGATGATTGCTTGCGCCTCCTCAACAATTTTTTCACGCTCCCCTTCGTTTGGGAAACACTGGTGTATAGTTACGCGTTGTGTGTTAGTGATGGTCGACTATAAATACAAGCAAACCGTTAACAAAATATTATTAAAACATACTATACGCAGTACGGATTTTAATATTATATTTTAATCTTTAATAAACATGATCATGCCCATTAATATATCTGAAGTAGGTACACTAAAAGTTCATCAAAATGTTCAGAGTTTATTCAAGGTAAATGAAAATATGAGTTTTTTGCGGAAATTTAATCATTCTGGTAAATATTCTATACTTGTGCAGCGCGTTGTTAGAATTATGGATGCAAGATGGGTAATCCTTATAAATAATGTTACTAAACCAGAGCATCAATATAATATTTTATTTACTTTAAACTTGGAATATTAGATTTTTTAATATATAAACAATTCTAACTAAATAATACTGTAATTGTGAGTAAATTTTAAAATTGAACATTTTCCATAGTATTTTGTTCGTATTAACCGTATTCTGTTAACCGGATACATTGTCTGACGAAGTTTTTAACCGGATGTACGGACAGTGCCAAATTCGGACTGCCGGCCGTGGGGTGTAAACCGGACGTTTGATAAACCTGCAATAGATATTACTTGCCGATAATACCTTTACTTAAAACAATATAATATTTTTGATAATTTAGTTTAAATCCTGAATGCTACGATAAATCCTTGAAGAAATATACAATTCTGAATGGCGCTCTTGAAAATATAAAACAATATGAAAGCGTTAGTAGTGATTTATCTTAAATGTTGAACTTTAAACGTTTATAGAAAATAATTGTGTCATTAAGGTGAACATATATAATAAAAAATTAATTAATTAAAATCGAAACAAAACGGACAAATTTAATATAATTAATATAGCTTACGTATACTTAAAATTAACCAAAATTAAACTCTAGAAAACTTTAACATACGGTGAAATTATCAAGTTTCTGCAGCAGGCCTGTACTAGCTACTTTTATAGGGTAGCTGCAGTAACCACTTAAGAGAGGGCCAAAACCTATGGCGTAATAACGGGAGAAATTCAGGAGATTACATTATCCATCACCTCTTCCAGAGGTTCTATATCGTGGTTTATCGTGGTTAACTAAAGGTTAGGTTAAAGATAAAATAATATATTAAATACAATAAACATATAATATAGAGTTTAACGAAATGAAATGAATAATATTTCGTTTTTTCAGGAATTTGCGATAATCGTTTTTATCGAGTTATATCCTTCGTATAATAAATAAAAAGGCATTTAAAATATAAAAAAAAGTTTTACTGCTCATGGATACAGTGTTGGGTACACTGTTAACATATAATTATTCTATGGGAGGAATTGGGAAAATATGGTATACAGGGTAATTTAGTTTAAATACTGTATGTATAACGATATATCATCACAAACGAAAAAAATTATTCTCATGGAGTATTATTAGTCGTATTTTTTGCGCCGTAATCAAGTTCATCTAGAAATCGACAAAAATAAAAGTTTTTAAAATGTTAACCAAAATAGAAAAAAAAAAAAAACAACCTAGGCGGTGAAAGTACTACCAGGCAGAAATTTCGCATCTTTTAAGATGTTTGCAGCATGGAAATATTAGATCATTTTCTGGAAAAATTATTGTGACTTTCGAAACATTTTTTAATTATAATACCATTAGCCAAAAAATCCACAACTTTTAATATTATAACATGAAAAGATCGGAGTTTTTTTTTTTATTAACCGGATAAGTACTCTAAAATAAAAAAAAATCACCATAGTTAAACTAATAGTTTCTTCGCTATAATCAGAAACTATAAAGCAAAATAAAAGTTTCGTTATTAAAGCTCTTTGGCTTATTAAGTGATTTCTTGCTTGGAAAACAGTGTTTCCAGACGTTCGGAAAAAAATGCGATTTGCATATAAATCCGTGGACTAATTATTTCAGTATAATATTATTACTCATCCACTAATTACGATAAGTCTATATTTAAGAAAAATGATAATTGCGCTTACCTATATTGGGAAACCAAACCAATTCTCCCTACCCTAAACCCCTCCCCCTCCCCCATACCCAATTGCCCGACTACATATTATACAGTCATTCGTTGATGGTTTATACATTTTATCCGATTCGAAACGTTTCGACATCGGTTATGTGGGCGAAAAGCCGGGGGAAAAAACAACGAAATACAGCCAATGCAGTGCGGATTTTATCGAGTGGGCAACACCGTTTTTCAGTGGGTTGGCGGTGGTTTCGCCGGGGAAAAACAAGTATATACGTATGTATCCGTCCCAAATGTGCGCCGAGCCGTTCGGTCTCGTTCACGGCCGAACGACCTTGTTTTCCGCTTCCGTCCGGTCTATCCCGTCCGTTTATATATATATTATTATTATTATTATTATTATTATTATACACGACCCGAACCTCTTGATCACCAGTTTTAAGTCGGCTATCATTAATAATCGGATTGTATGTTCCGACTGTCGAGTCGCTTTATACTCTTTGCCGCCAATCCCGTCCCGTCCCGTCACTCACTCGCTCGCTCACACAGTCGTCGTCGCGATCGTCGAAACGTTTACGTTTGCTTTTGCCGATCACCGCCGGTGCACTGGTACACTCGGTAAACTTGCATCACGCTTCCATGGGATATATTATTATACTATTATGCATACTCGAAATAATATAATTATAATTGTTGTATTGCAGTATTTATTTATACCGGAGTATGGGACGTACTAGTCATATACCACGGTAATTTACCGGTTGATATTTTTTTTTTTTTTATCACGAACCAGAGAATTTCTCCGGGGATTTAGTGTCAATTTGTTTTCCGTTTTTTTTTTTTTTAATAATTATTAAGTTGTTTCCTTGTGACAATTTTGGAATTCTTCTCAGAATTTCAAAACCGCAAACATGCACGTATAGCTTATTTAATTTTTAAATATTCTACAATCTAACATTTATGCAGAAATATAATACTTTTTCTTTCGTTATATTATAATATTGTCAGTTGGTATGTATTGTGTACAAAATACACGGGGAAATCAAAATATTAATCTAGCGGTGTATAATATAATAAAGAATAATAATTTAAAACATGTTCGCTTTGGATATTTTTGTATACAGAGAACCTCGATAACTCGAATCAGTCTGGAGCAAAACAAAAATTTGAGTTATTGAAAATATTTTTTTATATAACACAATCACTTTATTTATTTACTCCATGTATATGAATATTGCAAAATGTTTGTATGTATGTATTATAAATAAATAAAAATATTCCATTCTATATTTAATATCATTTTAAGCATTAATGGTTGATAAAATTAATAGGTTTTCGATTACGACTATCGTTTTTTATGAATATACTTTGTTATACGTATATACGTTATCGTTATAGATAATCGTTCGTACATTTATACAAATTAGTTTATTATTTCAAAAAATTTCGGTATGTATGTCGAATAAATCGAGTTATAAGCCAAAATTCAACTCAAATGACTTGGACTTGTAGATAAATTCGAGTTAGCGAAATTCGAATTATCGAGAAATTGTTCCTACATATCGCATATTCAAATGCAGGGGTCAAGACATTCCTTCGAGTTATCGAAAATTCGATTTATCCAGATTCCACTGTAGTTTCCTAGGAATTTTTACTATTGTAGCTTTCAAATTCCCGATAATCGAGACCATTCCTTCTCGGGCACGCCTACGAAAATTTCCGGTATTGCTAACTCTAAATGTGATCGATAGAAATTAAAGATGTCGGTGCAACTACCAGACATCTCCGGAGATGATAATTTTGGTATTTTGGAGATGTCTGGATGTTTCACCGACGTCTTCAATTGCGGTTTTTCGTCTGTATCTTTTTATGTTTAATATTCATAGCCATAGATGAAATAATTTTGCTCTTCATTTATAAATTAATTTTCATCATTATTTAATTCATTATAATATCTACTAAAATAAAAATGTAATAATTCTTTTCACATTCAGTGCGTGCATGTTTGGTTGCATAGTTTGATTTTTTATTATTATTATTAATATTTTCATTAAATTATGTCGTTGAACTTCGCATCCCTGGTGATATGTTATAATAATTATTATCGCCA